AAAACTTCAATATAAGTACAAAATATAGAAATAATAACATAAACATGATAAATCTCAAAATGGAATCAAATAAAATACCAAAATGTCAACAGAAAGAGTCAGTCATGTCATAACAAAAATATATAAACACGGAGGGATTTTCCAAAATTTTCTTCATTAACCTACATAAGTGCAGGTGTACAGTTAGTGTTCTGATATTAAAAAAGTCTGAGTAAACATACCTTTGTTTTATCCATAAACGTATGTGCGAAGCGGTTGTTCGGCTTTGAACAAGAATATTTTCTGTTCCGCTCCTCGTCCCGTTTACTTTATTCCTCTTTTTTCAGAACCTTATTCCAATCCTCATATATTAGTCTGGATACTTGCAGTAGACTTGATTACCCTACTTAAGAACATGCGAAATCATTAGCTGATGAATATCAACCAGATCTTTGTACATTTACCGCATCAATTCTTGTTATATGCAAACCTATCTCTACCATGAATCGTTTCTCAGTCCATAAGATGATTGTCGTATTGCAACCTTCGTACCTTGCGCCAATTATTCGCAGTGTACATTCCATCTTTGAGAATACAATGAATCTTGTGAAATGTTTCAGTAACTGTATACCGTTTTAAAAGAAATATGTTGCTAATCTTAGCATTTTGATCTTGCCTGTAAATTAGCATGTCTCTTGTAACATGTTTGCTATTTGAGAATAAATTATTATTGATATTATTATTATTTTTATTATTATTTCGGCACCAATACAGAAGGCTAGAGTGGGTTTCGCCAACTTACATCACTTATGGCGTGGGTGAGATATCCGTCTGTTAACTAAAGGATGAGTTTACTACGCATCAGTTCGCTCTATCCTGCTCTACAGGTGTGAAACATGGCCAGCTATGGTAGAGGATATTTGTTGGTTACTGATACCGTTGATGGTATAATGGTATTCAATGCCGTGTCCAATATTCATTTGCACATTTTCTAGAATTTTAGGCCCCAATTATTGGAACATCTAATTAATTCGTCCAGGTCAGCTTGAATATCAAGATAATGAGCCTCACTACTTACAGTTCTCCTAATTTCGACAGTGTACAAATAACAGCGTCGACAAATTAAACAGTTTCGGTAGTTCACTGATGTAGAGTAGAAACAATAGTGGTCCCACCCACCACTCTTGACCGGTTTTCATCCGGACAGTGTCCTATTTACAGTCATCCTTAGTCTTCGATCACGAAGTTTTTTATCCGCTCATGTATTGCAACTGTTATTCCAAAGCTGAAGGACTTCTACAACGTGGTTCTATAATACTGTCCCTGAGGGATGGCAGCAATGGTGGGTTTGAAGTTGTTAGAAAGCCAAGAACTTGCAGAGAAGGATTTATCGTCTGAAATGTAGTCGCTGACCAGTTGTGTAAACCATCTAGTAGGTGTGAACGTCTTAAATAAGTTCTGAACATTATACGTATTATTCATGATTCTAAGTAGTGCTAAGTAACCAGAATGACGTAGTTGTCTTCTCTTCTTCTTCTTTTTTTAATCCAAAACTGTTCGTCCATTTACTATCAATATTAAGATGATACTAGACAAGTTTGATAAATCAGTTTAATAAAGTTGAATTTTCATCGACCAAGTTAGCTGACTCATTAAAGTGCAGAGTGGTAGTTCAAGCCGATCTGAAGTACATTTGGCACAACAGCCACCTAATCAGAATAAATCTGCCCATGCTAGACCCAGTTCATCCCACTCCAGTTCTGCCGAAAAGTCAAAGATGATATTTTAACTGTTGCGACGACATTCGAACAGCTAGGGGAACGCACGACATTGGTAATAAAACGCATCAGTGACAACGGTTTCCGGTTACGCCCAGAAAAATGCCAGTTTCTATTGCAGTCGGTAAAGTGTTTGGGATACATCTTCAATGCCGACGGTCGCAGACTGGATCCTGAGAATATCCGAGCCATCAAACTGATACCCACTCACACAAATATCTTGGAATCACAATCTTTCCTCGGATTAATCAGTTGTAATTCAGCATTTGTTCCTTCGATGCACGACATTCGCGCTCCATTGAATTGTCTACTGCAGAAGCATAGCACATGGAACTGGACTAAAGAGTGTGACGCGGCTTTTGGTAAACTCAAGTGAATAATTAGCTTGAAATCGTTATTGAAGCACTACGACCCATCCATGCCAATCATCGTAGCAGCAGACGCTTCAGAATATGGCCTAGGTGCTGTTGTTTCACATCAGTTTCCAGACGAGTCAGAAAAAGCCGTTATGCATGCATTCCTTACACTAAACCCAGCAGAAAAGAGGTACAGCCAGATAGAGAAAGAAGCTCTTGCTCTTGTGTTTGCTGTTCGCTGTTTCCACAAGTTTCTGTACGGTCGGGGATTGACGCTCCTTACAGATCACAAGCCTCTGTTAGAAGTATTCGGTTCTAAACCTTGCATTCCAGCCCATTCTGCATCCTGCGGTTAAACGATTGAAGTCCATAGACATGAGTTATGCATACTGGTCTCTCATGGATCAACATGTCACAGCGTTGGTTGAAAAACGCATGCGGTGTCAGCGGGCGGCAAAGATGAATGACAAAATTCTGCCGGTTTGATGGCCCAAACCTGAGCATCCTTGGTCCAGGGTACATGTCGACTTCGCTGGTCCGATTAAAGAAACCATGTGTTTAATTGTGGTCGACGCCTTCTCAAAGTGGTCAGAAACCAACACCGTAATGCCGATCACAACGACTAAGACAATACAGATTTTCACTGAAATTTCTTGCGAAATGGCATACCAGATGTGATCTTATCTGACAATGGCTCTCAATTCACCTCTTCCTAATCGCAGACTTTCTGGCAACGGCTGGCCGCTAAACACTTAAGCTCGCCACCATACCACAGGCAATTGAATGGACAAGCGGAAAGGTTTGGGGATACGCGTTGCAAATTTTCTTTTACGTCTATCGAACAACACCGAATGAGTTGTTACCGGAGCAAAAGTCCCCAGCAGAAATCCTGATGGGAGGAAGACTGAAAACAATCCACAGCCTGATGCACCCACATCAGTAGAGACAAAGCCGCAAAGACAATCCGCTTACGAAGTGAGATTCCCCCGTGTTTGCCGTTGGTCGAGTGATGTACGAAGTAGAGGTAGGAGGCGATAAATGGTCACGTCATCGAAATCAGATACTCAAACGGCTAGCCCCAGATCGCCCATCAAGAAAAGAAAACCTTCCTCTTCACATCCTGCTTGGTACCTTCAAACTTCCGGCAGCCTCACCACGACAAGAAACTCAACCACAAGCGGCTTCCCAGTCCATAAGATATCCTCTCGGACAGCGGCGGACGACAGTCAAGATGGAAGTCGACCCCAGGAGCGCACGCTATCAAAAAGGGGAGAAGTGCTGAGGGTGTCAGATCCCCAGAACTCGCTTGATAAATGCCTTATTTTGGATTTCACGTTTGCAAGCATGGGCTGATCAGTTGACCTTGAGACTCCATTTCCCACCAGAACACCTACCACTAACTTATTATCAGTTATAATGTGCCAATGCAGCTGGTCAAACCTGAGTAATAAAAACTCAAAGTGATGCTGAATCAGGAAACATGATGCGCTCGCTGTCGGTATACTCATACAATGAAGATGAGGGAATGTGAGCGAACGATGGTGTATTTGTATGGATTAATTATGCAATAGTATGCGTGGACTCAATATTAGTGCAAAAGTAGAATTACGATGGTTCAGGAGGAACAGTGATAACACAATTTGGTGTTTGTTGGGGAATTTAGATCTCTAAAGTCGCTTGTTAAATGCCTTAGTGCGCTATTTTTGTGGCTGTCCCAAGGACGTTTCTATGATGTATAAATAAATGAGAGTTGCATGCTTGATTGTATTGTGATTGCTGGGTGTTGTAGAATATACTTTCTACGCTTACCGAGACTTCTGTTTACAGCTTGAGATTCAAGGTAGCCTATCTGGAAGCTGGTAATTGTCTTGTTCGCATTTATTGACTAAGGTGAACTCGTAATGCTTCAAGCGTACCTAGTGACGAACATAACACTGACTGGTCTCAATTTACATGAAAAGATAAAGTCCTCTTGAGATAATCAAAGAGTAATCTGGATAAATAGTTTCAAAAATGTCAGCCTCGATCATACCTAAACGCTTCACTAGAGCTCACGAAAAGCAGACTAGAGAAAACCGGGTTTGTTTCAGACCTGAACGTGGATTTACAAATCATACGTACACTCGTTCTTAGGTCCTGGAAAACCGACACACATTTTGGCATCTCTAATTTCTTATTCATCGAACTTAATGCGGCATTTGACACTGTCAGACGTGCGGTTTCGCGGCAGTGTCTGTTATCTACGTTAAATCACAGAATTACAATGCGCGTTTACAAGCTCTCTGCTGGAACATAACTGGTCAGCTTAGAGCTAAAATCGGAATTAATCGCTGCATTCGGTGTCTATCAGCGTAGCCCTTTCTCAACATTCTAGTTC